TTTGGTTTGCCTTCTCTGGGAGTCTATTTTTCTGGTTCAAGTAAATAGTGAGGCAGCTGTGGTTGGGAACGGCAGAGGAGGTGGTGCCAAAAAGCATTCCTTCAAACTTTTCTCAGCAGGTTTTCTCCTTTTTGTTTTGTTTTGTTTTTATTTTCTAAAGATTTAAACCACCTTCCTTTCAGGCCTAGGATGTGGTTGCAAACTCCAAGACCTGCCAGATACTGTGATTGGGTGCAGCAGCCCAGGGTTAGGCCTCTGTGGGGACCTGCAGTGCATTTGAGGAGCAGGGGGCCCAGCAAAATGGCCTCGATTTTGCAATAGGTTTTAGGAATCACCATTACAGGAATTCTTTCTATTTCTATTTCTAAATCTCAGTGTGGGCAGTCTGTTCACCTTTCCAGTCCTGTATGTGGGGGCAAAGGGGGCTCAGTGGTAGAGTCATTCCCTTCCATGTGGGAGAACTGGGTTCGATGCCCAGCCAATGCAGTGGAAGCTTGCACGTTGCCATGATGCTGAACGGGTTTCAGCAGAGCTTCCAGCTTAATAGGGACTAGGCAAACAGGCCTGGCTATTGACTTCGGAAAAATCAGCCGAGGAAAACCCTGTGGCTCACAATGGTTCAATTGGCAACAGATCTTGGAGATAATGCAGGAAGAGGCCGGTTGCTAGGCCCTACCTCAGAGTTCCAGATTCTGCAGATCTGGGGTGCGGCTCAGGAATGTGAGTGTCTAACAAATTACCAGATGATGCTGCAGGCACTGATCTGGGAGCCTCACATCTTGGAAATGACTTTTGGACATACATTTACGGAGGCATGAAGAGAATTGTCCCCCAACATTGTCCCTACTAGGGCCAAGCTAGAAGCAAGTGAAATGTATATTGATAACTCACTGGATAAATTAACTGTGGTGTAGTCATGCAGGAAGGAAGCTTGGTTGCACAGTGGTTAAAGCACACAGCTGATAACTGAGCGATTGGTAGGTCTAACCTACCAGGAGAAAGTTGTGGTAGTCTGCTCCCAAAAAGATTCACAGTCCTGAAAACCCTATGGGGCAACTCTATTCTGTCTATAGGGTCCAATCTATAGGGTCTATAGAATCCAACTATGAGTTGGATTCAACTGGAGGGCAGTGGGTATAGCCATACGGGATTCTCAAAAGGGTGCAAATGATTCAGTTCCCCCACTGCTAACCAAAAGGCTGGTGAGTCCACACTGAGGCTACTCTGAAGAAAAACCTGGTGATCTACTGAAAATTTTGCCATTGACAAGCCTACTCCAACCCACATGAGTTGGAAATGACTCGATGGCAGCTAGTGGGCTGGTTAGACAGCCCTACAGGAACAGCCAGTGGGCTGGTTAGACAGCCCTACATGAAAACAGTGGAAGGCAATAAAAGCAAATGCGCTCCATTGCCCAACTTCTCAGGATGAACCCAGCTGAAGAGATCAGTGACTCTATCCCATTATGTAACTCTCCCCTATACAAAGCTCAGAACTTCCCGGATGAAGACTAATAGGAAGTGTTTCCATTTCATGGGAGGAGAATCATTTTTGAAGTCTTTTTTTTTTGAAAGGAAGAGAACTTGAATGTGCCCGTGATTACACTGTGATGTTCTTTTGCCTCCAAAAATTCAGAAAGGAGGAGCTGGCCACAGCTGCGGCCCCTCGAGGATGCCAGGAATGTGCCTCTCTCTTGAAGAATGCTTACTCCATCTTTTCCAGATAGTAGTGTCTGGCTTTTCGATTTGATAGGGCCGAGTTGCTTTCTTTACTACAGTTTGTAGTCTCTCCTTTAAAAAAAATTGAATCCTTCGATAAACAAAAATGGTAGTGCATACATACAATGGAATACTAGTTACCCAGTAGGAAAAATGAAGTCCTGATACATGCTACAGTGTGGATGGAACTTGCTGGCCTATGGCACAGTGCTTACATGCTGGGCCGCAAGCCTCCAGGTCAGCAGTTCAAATGCCCTAAGCTGCTTTCTGAGAGAAAGACAGAGCTTTCCAATTCCGTGAAGATTTAACAGTGTCGGAAACTTACAGGGGGAGTTCTGCCCTATCCTATAGGGTCTCTGTGAGTCGGCATTAACTCGATGGTAGGGAGCATTGTTATTGTTTCGTCGAATATTTTATGACCTCACTTAATTAAAAAGACAAGAAAAGAAAAATATGAGACCAAAGTTTATTAAAGGTTACCAGGTGTGTTAGGGTACTTTAAAGAAACAAATCCACAGAAACTCATGTATAAGAGGGTTTTATATAAAGGTTAAATGCACATCAAGAAAACGTCCCAACCCAGTGCTGCCCAAGCCCACAAATCCAACATTGACCTATATGTCCGACACCAATCCACGAAGTCCTCCTCCATCTCACAAAACACACGCAATGATGCCAGCTGCAGGAGGAAAGCCGAATCAGTGAGTGTGTAAGCATCTCAGCGCTGGCAGGGGTCTCCACACGGCTGCTCCAGCACCCAAGGCTGCATCGGGGAAGGCCCATGTGGCTTCTCCTCAGGGATGTCTTACAGGAAGTGAGCCTTGCCAGCTGAAGCAGGGAACTGGCTAAGGCAGCTGCACCCTGGTGTGACCATCACAAAGCAAGAGACCTGAGAACTAGAAAGGCGAGGCTCACCGAGCCATTTGTCTCTCTGCCTTCAATTAACCCCATGTGTTTTTTTATCAGCCAGGTTGGCACAATAAACTTTAACTATGACACCAGGACAGGAGGAAGGGGAGGTAGAAGAGGTAATGATGATGGGGAAATTACATTCAAGGTAGAATGACAGCCGATTAATGTAATTGGTTGCTGTCAATAAGTTGTACACCTGTGAATGACTATGAATGACAAACATTGTGCAATGATAATTTTACAATAACAACACCAAAAAGAGTGGCTGCTGAGGCTGTTCATGTAGAACAAATCCTTTCATGGGATTTGGTTTCTTGGTTTGGAGATTTAAGGTCATGGTTTCATGGGACGTAACAGTTAATTGGCTGTATTACCTGTTGAGTGTTTCTGTTCTACCTCCTAGTTTGTGGTGTAGTGCCTGGGGTCTTACAAGCTTGTAAGCTGCCACCAAAGGCACAACAAGTGATTCCTATATTCACCTGGAGCAACAGTGGAAAAAGGAGGGCCGGGAACAGAAGTAATACCTGGAATGCATGGCTCATTGCCTGCATTTCCATGAGCCCAGAAGGACTGGAATGGTGCCCAGCTACCATTACTGGGCATTTTGATTAAAGATCCCATAGAAGAATCCTGATCAAAAGAGAGTCAATGCAGAACAGACTTTCAAATTCTCATGGACGCTAGAGTTTCTGATGAACCCCAGAAACTATTGGCTTGAGATCATTAATCTTTTAACACTTAAACCGACTGAATGATAATTTAGCTTAATTATCTTAAAAGCTCTGTTTTGAGCAGTATCCTCTTTTCAAAGCTATCTGTATGGGATCATACGGACAACAGCAACTGGACAGAGACCAGAGAGGATCCTGGGGGCAGTGAGCTTATGTTAATGAGGGAGGAACACTTCATACAAGGAGGGGGAGAGCGGTTGTGCAACTCAAAGAGTGTACTGTAATCAGTGTCACTCAGTGACACATGTAGAAACTGTTGCCTTGTGTGTGTGTTGCTGTGTATAGTCTCTACAACAGCAAAACAAAGAACATTTTGAAAAAAACAAACACACACACACAGTGCCTTAATTCCCTATTGAAACATCAGTGTTTGCTTGCAGCGTGGACTGCCACTTTCCCTATTGCATCACAGTGTGCCTTCCGGATTTGCGTGTCCCACTGGTGCAAATGACAGCTGCATAATTCTAGAACGCCTTCCTATAATGATCAATGCCAATAGTTTATGATGACACCCTAGGAATTCAGTGGCAGCTACCCAAGAATCTGGGTGGCATCTTTATTATTCGACAAATCCACCAGACATATTGAATACTTTACTTGAAAGTGCCAGATGCTAAGAGGATATCTGTCTTCTTTAATAAAGCGAAGAGTTATAAGCAATCCAAATGGCCATCTATGAGGGAATGGTTCATTAAATGTTCATACAGCCATTCTGTCCACCACCTGTCAATTTGTCTCACTGGGGTGGCCAGCATGATGATGTGATGCTAGAAACTACATCACTTGTGTGTTTTAAATACCAGCAGGATCACCTGTGGTGGAGAGATTTCCGTGGGGCTTCCAGAATAAGATAGACTAGGAAGAAAGGCTAGGCAGTACATTTCTTAAAATCAGACAATGAAAACCCTTATGGGTCAAAACAGAAGATTGTCCAGTTGAGTCTTGGGAGATGAGTCTCTTAGGTTGGAAGACAGTCATGATACACCCTGGCCACAATGACAGAATGGAGCAGAGCATCCGATGTGAAGACAGTGTAGGCAGCACTATGAGTTGGAACCAACTTTATGATAACTAACAACACATATTTCAGTAACTACTATTATGCAACCCCTGGGGGGGAAGTAGATTTGAACTTTACTGACATGTGTTAAGCTCCCTATAAAGCACTTTATAAACCTCTTCTCAATGATTCTTCACAACACTCTATAAAGTCACTCCTATTTGATAAGAGAAGACACACAGACTCAGCCAAAGACAAACAGTAAATGATGCAGTGACACTTAGAACTGAGCTCGTGGACCCCACATGTGGTCATTGTTTGGTTGACGCTCATCTCCTGGAGCTTTGATCCATAGACATAGCACCTAGGAAAAGACTCATGTGCTTCTAAAGGTCAAAGATAGTCAAAGGGCAATAGGAAATGATTTCCAAAGGAGGACCGTTTCCTGTTCTTGTAGACTGAAACAAAAATTGATCACATGGTGGTGTGTGCCATCCAATTTCGGGATGTTCCAGTCATCTCTGTTAGAAAGAGCAAATGAGGAGCAAAGTAAGTGGAAAATCATAATTTGCTCAAAGGTAGTCGATGGTAATGCAAAATATCAATATATTTGTTCCTAAAACATCTCATTCCTTACAGATGGACAGAAGCGAAAGAAATCTTTGAGAAAGAAACTGGATTCCCTCGGAAAGGAGAAAAACAAAGACAGAGGTAAGTGCAGTAAAGCGAAGGCACCGTTATGGAGCATAATGGTTGAATTAGGTGGAGTTGTCCAAGTGCATAGATGTATGCGGTTCGGCTCTATTATGTAAGTGGGCTGCTACAGTGGAATGCCATTAAGGGGTGCTTTGGTCTGCTCTGCTCTTGTGTGTTTGAGTGGCCCTGTACTGACTTGATGAGTTCAACTGGTTTGCACAGGGTGTGCCTTCAGCCAAGTTGATGGTTCCAATTATGCTTCTGGCCAATCCGCTATGCATAAAGAGAACCTGGCTTGAGGAGCCATGGACAGCGTCTCTAACACTAACCAGCTGTCTGGCAAATCCAGACCATTAGGCTGGGCTGGGCATATGTGAAAGAGTTTGGCTTTGCCTACCATGACTACTGGAAAGAAAGGCTCATACTCATGGGTTTCTGCAGATGAGCCGTTCTCAGTATGTTTCTATTAGATCACAGAAGACTCATGCTCACCTACTTACATCTTGCAAATGATGACACTCTTCCTCTTCTTGCATGTAGCCTTCTAGGCTTATTTGGGAAATTACTTAAATAGCCCCATCCCCACCCCTTTCTGGGGTATATGGTATCATTTTCAACAAATAGTCAGTCATTGGGCCAGCCTGTTCAGTGGACACTGGCCTCCATGGGCACAGCCCAGTTTCTGGCGACCTACTTCTCTGGACTGAAGTGCAATGATTGGAGGATGCTGCCATGACATTTGGTTCTTTGGAACAAGAAAGGAGAAGAAAATGTGACCATCTTTTTTTTTTTTTTTTACACTCGCACTCCCCTCCCATCTTTTTTTTTTTGAGAAAATTTAATAATTTTATTCTATTTGGATCAATCTTCACAACCCATAGAAGTAGCAGTTGAAATCAATGGACATATTTTCAAATGGCAAATGTGCTACAAAAGACTTTAACCCTTTTTTTTAAACCTCAAGAGTGACGGTCTGTCGATCCTCCTTTTATTTTGTTTTCCACACGGTACTGCAGCAGTCAGCTGGAATATGTGCCCCAATACCCTCTTAGGCAGAAGGGACTTTCTGTCTACCAGGGGATCTTCGAAATGTTTGCAGATAGTCTGGTTTGGACCAGTTCTACTGGCATCTAGTGAGGAGACCCTGAGGACGCCGCTGAACATTCTAAAATTCATAGGAGACTCCCTGACACAAGAAAACTCTCTGGTTCAAACAGTGCCAAGATTGAGAAACCCTCCGTTAGGGCAAATTCAATATTTTTCCATGCCTTCACATTCTTTATCTCCTTTTTCTTCCAAAGAAACCCAACGTCATGACCTCTTGGGCAAAGGGCCAGAAATGGATGTAGAGACTGAGATTGATGGTGTGGAGTTGGCCTTGGATTATACTGGTCAGATTGCACCCTTGCATTCCTTATTTTTAAAATTAGCTACATCAGACCAAATGGTCAAGGGCTATTTTAAAGCCTAGATGAAGGTTGGAGGGCAATGAGCTGCAGCTAATGAGAGTGAAACAACTAGAACAGAAATAACAAGAACATTGGCTCAGTGAGAAGAATGTAACCGGTATCATGAATTATTATGTCTGAGCAGCTGTGGAGTAGGAGCAGATTTTGCTGTCTGTAAAATAAAATACTAGTTTTAAAAACAAACAATGGAGAAAGAGCCTGAGTGACTTGAGACTGTAGACGAAGAGAGAGTGTAGCTCTGCATTTTGGCTTTAGAGGAGTCTTGTTCAGCTCTACACAATATTCACTGACTCAGTATCAGCCAAAAGAAGCTAGAACCTAGGGAAAGAGGTAGAGAACTTGCCATTGGAAGATAAAGTCATCTTCCTAAGATAGTTACCTTCAGAGGTCACAAACAAAAGGTAAAAGCTCAAATCATTCTTCGCAGGACTGAACTGCCACTCTGCCAATATTCTTCCCACCCTTCCATCTCACTGAAAAGCGTTCACTGTCAACAAATTGTAACATGGCAAGGGCCCCTTCCCATCTCAGTAGCTCCAGTGCTTAATCGGGACATTTCTAACCCCTGTGAGTTCATTCCTAAGTGAGGATGCTGATGCACGTGTCATGTTCTCATTAGGCTGGCCACCCACATGATCTAGTAGTTAACCTCAAATCTGAAAACAAAAAGGAGGGAAACACGCCAGTGGTGGGCAACCTTGACTTCTCAATAGAATCACCTGTAGAACTGCTCAAAAACGTCAGTGTCCAGATGTCTACCACACAGGGGCTGCTGGTCTTCTGTGAGGCTCCAATATGGGTATGTTGAGGCTTTCTGCTCCCGTAAAGGCTTAACAGTCTCGGAAACCCACAGGGACAGATTTTTCTCTCTGTCCTATAGAAACACTATGCTCTCGAATCGGCTCAATGGCTGTGAGAGTGAGTTCAGATGTACAATGTCTAAGCCTGGTCCATCTTCACCAGGGTACTCGGCAGGACACATGGCATCCCGGGTGAAATTACTGCTAGAGGAAAGAAGGCAACGCCTTCTGCAGCCACCTATCACCCTTGTCTGCTCAATTCAAAGTGATGTCATTGGGTGCCTTGTCCTTGTCCTTGCCTTGTAGTAACGTAGCTTTTAAATCTCAAGCTGCTGGTCCTTCTTTTCCTGTACTAGAGCACCTTGTATGGCCTCGCTAGCTTAGAGTAGGTCTCCAGGTGTATAGAATGTCCTAAGGGAATCATGCTGGCTGTTCCCAGTCTTGAACATTGAGACTTATGAGAGCTGGATCCGTTGGGGACTGCCTTGTTTCTCTGCATCTCGCAAGTTTCAGACCCTCTTAGGGGAAAATATTTGTGTTTTGACACAGGTTCTGACTTTTGCCTTACTGTACAGTGGTCCCCCCTTATCCACGCGGTTCTGTTCTAGTACCCCCAGTGGCTGCCTAAACCTGTACATGGTACCAAACCTTAGATACACTGTGATTTTTCTTAGACACACATATGTCAAATACCCAGGGTTCCCCAGGCCTAGCTCCCGCCCAGCCAAGGACGAGGAGAAGGGGCAGGAGTAGGAAATGGAAAGATTTCATCAAGCTGCTCAGAATGGCACACAATTTAAATATTGTTCAACCCATGCATGACCACTGGTGACTAAAACTGTGGAAAGCAAAACCATGGATAAGGGGAACGGATGTCTTTCTTTTTCAAGTGGGTGTCTTCTCTCACTGCCATCAAGTCAATGCTGACTCATAGAGCCCCCATCGGGCAGGGTAGAACTACCCCTGTGAGTTTTCAAAACTGTAACTCTTTATGGGGGTAAAAAGCCCTATATTTCTGCCAAGGAGTGGCTTTGAACTGCTGATGGTTTTAAACTGCTGACCCTGTGCCACTATACCACCGGGGCTCCTGAGTGTATTCTAGGATGGCAATATTGCTGTTGGGGTTTAAATACTCATGGTGTAGAATTTAGGAGATTCTCTAGGACAGCGGTTCTCAATCTGTGAAAGGGGTCGCGACCATTTCACAGGGGTCACCCAATTCATAACAGTAGCAAATTGACAGTTATGAAGTAGCAACAAACATCATTTTATGGTGGGGGGTCACCACAACATCAGATACTGCATTAAAGGGTTGTGGCATTAGGAAGGTTGAGAATCGCTGCTCTAGGAAGAGCCCATATGGCAGGCCTAAGTAGAATGAGCAATTTTTGCAGGAGATGATGCTTGAACGTCCGCAGAGGAGGGAGGTCCATTTGTACTTGCTGTCAGTGACCATTAAAGACATAGTCAGGGAAAGCGTTCAGCGGACCTGTCCACACTTTTCAGACCCAATCAAACTTCCACAGGCTCATCGGAATGCTGAGTGAACACTCACAAGTGTGTTGCCTAAAGGAAGGTAGGTTCTGGATCATTCTAATGAAGTGAGGACATACCCAGCTTGAAGACAAAGGAGTTGGGTGTTTTTGTTGTTGAATGTAGCTTTGATGTTTAAACCCAGGGTGTTCGAGGGTTAAGTGAGACAGAATGGCATGGCATCATTCCTGAACATACAGACCAGTCCCTGTCACCCCTAAAAGCCCTGACTTGGATTCGGAGAAGCAGGGAGAGAGGGGTGTGGTATACAGTTCTGGCCCAGGTATAATCTGTTCACATTATTTCCTTTTAGTTGAATATTGGCATTTGCATTCATAACCACTGCACATGTGAAAAAATGATTATCAGTTCAATCCAGCAGTCAAAGAAGGAACACAGGAAACTCTCAAAGACCTTTACTGCTGGGTCAGTGATGAATAAATAGCAATCGGATTGTAGAGTCGAATCATGCTCCCAATACAGAGGATGATTCATAAACGCTGGATATGCCACTCTGTTAAATGATTCAATCACAGTGAATCAGGCCCTGAGTTTTACTTAATTGCCTCAATATTAAATGCAGCGGTTCATGTAACACTCCTGGGTCCTTCCTGCCACTTAACTAAAAAAAAAATAAACCCCACAACAACAACAAAAAAAACCCCACTGCCATCGATTCTGACTAATGGCATCCATATAGAACAGAGTAGAACCTTTTCCCTTTGGCTTGCTGAGACTGTACATCTTGACAGGAGCAGACAGGCCTGCTTCATCAGGACTAGTATTTCCTTTGACTTCTATACAGAAATTCATTTGAATGTGGCACTGATTCAGAAAGCGTCTTTCCATACAAAATGGTTCTTATTTTATCATTGTTAAATTACTTAGCCACCAAAAAGAATTGATTTTGAAAACTCTCAATATTTCCAAAACTGGTATCTAATTGAGAAAAGGAATTGTCTGTTTGGGGCGAGGGCAAGGGGGGATGCAAGGGGAAGAAGGTTGAAAGACAGCTACTTCTCCCATGGACTGCAGTTCCTGCTCCACACGATGCCCAATAGGGTTGCTCGAGACGTTAATGAGGGAGAGGGGGCTCCTTCCCTGGGATATTTTCAGATTCATTTCCTATATGAGGGAGCTTCAAAAATTCATGCAAAAATGGGGAACAGAAAGAGAACAGAATTTTTCCACCAATTTTTGGATGTCTGCTCGTGTCTATTTACAGTGGACACAAACCCCACGTGTAGCGTAGGCCTACTGCCTCTCTGTGTATTGAAGTTGCATCATGCAGTATTTCCCTGTTCTTCACTAAGCATGCCACTGGGTGAGACCTTGAAAATAATGCGCCATAGGCAAGCATCAAGAAAGTGGTTAGTCTGGTGCTCTGTGGACATGGGAAACTGAGAGAATCGAGTTGATCAAGCATTATGGATTTATTTTACCCCCAAGAAGGAACAGCTGGAGTTTGTTTAAATGCTGAAGAGAACTTCTGACAGAAGAGAAGAGGTGAAGGCATGAGAAGCTATCCTGTACCCCTGGGGTGGCCCGCTGCTTGGTTTTGTGAATAAAGTTTTATTAGAATACAACCACACCCAGGCATTTACCTATCATCTATGGCTCCTTTCAAGCTGCACTGGCTGAGTTGAATAGCTGTAGCAGACACCCTGTGACCTGTACATGGCGCTAGCATCAGGGTAAGATGAAGAAGGTAGCCAGACCACTACATTTAATGAAGTCCCCTATTCACTCAGGGCACCAACCAACCCTGCCCTGATCCACCTGGAGCAGGAGCAAGAGGAGCAGGAAGCAGAGGTTAAAAGGGACCTTTGCAGCAGAAGGGCTGCCACACAGTGTGGGGGCACTGAATGTCTGGACATGTTACATATTGTCCTGGCTCAAGGGCAGTGAGTCTTGGGTAATTTCCTTGCTGTATTAAGAAACCTATTATCAACTTTACCAGCCCGAAGATCCACATGCATTTGTGTACATCCTTTTGTGTACAGAGAGAGAAGATTTTGCTCAATAGGCTTGTGAGGAGCCCACGACCGCCAGCAGCCTTGTTAAAAGCAACCAGACCCCAGAAGCCTGCCTCCAATAGTGACAGAGGCTAAACAGACTCTCCAAAGAAATTCGGAGCAGAGGGGTCTCCCTTCTGCAGCTTGTAAGTGTCCTCAAAGGAAATCAACAAGAAAGCGACCACAGCAAGACTCTACACCAGAAGGATAAATGCACTCAGCCAGGAAAGAAGTCTATTAGAGAGAGAGAAAAATCGGCTGGCATGCCTTTGCTGGGGACAAAAGAGAAATGAGAATTTGGAAAGAAAGAATGGCTTCCTATGTTTCCCTTCCTGGATTATACTCAATTATTCCAGTTTACAAAGAGAGTGACAGGCTTTCCGATATTAAAAAAGGACAAATTTCAAAGGAAATCATTTTCATCTTTTCTTCCAGAGCTACTAGAAATCTCTAATTGAAAGAAGCATCAATAACCTCCATCTCAGACGCAAGCTCTGTGATTCATTTTCCTACATGGAGTGATTCGTGTTACTTAATCAATGTCCTTTTTAGTGTTATCATGCCTAGACAGTTTCTATTTCCTGTAGCTCCCAGCCAAGTACTCAGGGTTCAAAGCAAGTGATCTGATAGTGTCCCTTGCATTTCGCTTCTGGTTTTGCCAGGAGTGAGTATTGGATCTTGCTACATCATTCCTGGGTAGTGCAAAGGTTACCAGTTCAAACCCACCTCAGAAGATGGGTCGAGTGATCTGATTCTGAAAGGTCACAGCTTTGAAAAACACTAGGCAGCAGTTCTAGCCTGCACACATGGGGTCTCCAGGAGTCACGTCGACTTGACCGAAACTAATAAAAACAACACGCTGTCCATATTGATCGTAAGAGGAATGCCTACAAAACGTTTTACAGTATTATCATAGGTAGCCGCTGGTTCTTTTGCCAGGAATGCCTAATGCCCTCTGAAAATTTCCAAATGCTGAGGTTTTCATTTACTGCTTCTAGAGGTTCAGATTTTCAAGGACCATGTCTGCTTTTGCTTTTAGCCCAAACCAAACCAAACCCATTACCTTCGAGTTGATTCTGACTCATAGCGCTCCTCTAGGACAGAGTAGCTGCCTCCGTGAGGTTCCCATGGCTGTAGATCTTTACGGATGCAGACTGCCTCTGCTTTCTCCTACACATCCACTGGTGGGTTTGAACAGCTGACCTTTTAGGGACCTGACCCTTATAAATCAATGTCTTATAAGCAATTTGAATGCTTAAGCACTGCGCCACCAGGGCTCCCGTGGTGTGGCCATCAGCCCAGTGATGTTGAAATGTCAGCATGTCAAGGCAGAAAATCCTTTGCAGGTAGGTGTGTTCCCATTGATTTAATGTTAACTGTTTCTTTTTAAAAATAAACAACCTTAGACTATTTGCCCTTAATCATGCTGGTCTCATTCATAGGCATGATAAAAACAAGTACAAGGTCAGATTCCAATTTGTTGCTTCTAGTGGACCTTCTCATTGTGAGTAGAAAAGAAAGAATGTATTTAATGCAATGATCAGGGCTTTAGAGTAGGAAGCTAAATATCTTGGCACGTAGATGCAGACAGATTTTCTACAAAGATCCAGAAGGCAACTGCAGGTACCTCACCAAATAAAGCCATAGTTTGCTGCATTACACCTAGTTCCCTTCCTAAAGGACTTACCAAATTGTATTTGAGACCCTCCCCTGCCTGGTGTGTGCTGGCGTTCACTTTTGTAGTGACCAATAAGAATGCCTGGGCAGGTGGCACCCCCAACACAACTGGAGATGAAATGAGGGGATGAGGAAGACGATGAAATAAGGGCAGATGTCTTCCCTAACTGCCCCTCTCCCTCCTAGACCAGCATTTGATACACTAACATTTTTATTGGGGACCCAAAAGTGTATCCGCTTAACCGAATTGCTGATGAGGACGCTCCAGAAAGTTCATGGGGAAATGGACTTGAAGGATAATGGAGGTTTCCCTCCAGTAGCTCTCTTCTAATGCATGATCTTGACAATCTGTCACAGTTATGTACATCCCTGACTTGCCAGTCTTCTCACTTCTGCTCGCATGCTGAAACCCTCGGGAGGGAGAACAGCACCTTTCGTAAGCTTTGTACACACCCCATGGCGCATCTGGTCAAGATGTTGCTGTTCCTTGTTGCCATCAAGTCAGGTCTAACTCCTTACGGAACATTGCCCAGTCCTGGGCCATCTTCACAGCCCTTGGTACGTGAGCCCATGGTTTTAGCTGGAGTGTCAGTCTACCTCATGCACGGCTTCTCCCCGCCTTCGCTGACCAAGCATGGCGCTCTTTTCTAGCGCTTGGTCTTTCCAAATGGAGTGCCCGAAGTAAGCAAGCAGAAGTTTCCTAACCTTTCTTCTAGGGAACATTATGGTTTTCTTTCTCCAAAACTGATGCCTGTCATGCATGATAAACATTTGGCATATAATAATTGCCTGTTGTATGGATAATTGCATGACTTCCCTGTACCTTGTCAGCTTAGGGACCGGAGCCTTATAAATCAACGTCTTATAACCCAACCCGTCCTTGAAGAAGGACACCATTCATGTTAGGTAGAGAGGCAGCGAGGTAGAGGAAGACCTTCAAGGAGGTGGATGGACACTGTGGCCCCAATGGTGGTCTCAGGCACAGGAGCAATTGTGAGGATGGCACAGGACCATGCAGTGTTTTGTTCGGTTGTGATAAGGTTGGAACTGACTCAGTGACATCTAACAACAAGAGTTTATAAATCATTCCTAATGACAATGTATTCTTTACATTTGCTCCAAAAGTGTGTGTGTGTATAAAACTCACTACCATTGATTCTATGCGGCCTCATAGCGACCCGATAGGACAGGGTAGAGCTGCCCCTGTGAGATTCTGAGACTGTAACTCTACCGAAGTAGAAAGCCCCATCTTTCTCCTGAGGAGCAGCTGGTGGTTTCAAACTGCTGACCCTGCCGCTAGCAGCCCACCTCGCTATGCCACCACAGCTCCTTTCAATGGGTCACCATGCTCTACAAAACGACTTCCTTTAAAACTGACTTGAGACAGGTGAAGCAAAACGAAAGGCGCAGATTTCTAAAACCCATGGTCTTTATACCTACTCATGGAGTCACAGTCATCTCTGACTCATCGACACCTTATAGGACAGGGTCGAACACCGCCTTTGGGTTCCCAAGACTGTTACTCTTCAAGAGAATAGAAAGCTCTGTCTTCCTCCCAGTGAATGGCTGGTGGTTTCAAATTCCTGACATTGCGGTTAGCAGCCTAAGGCATAACCCACTAAGCCACCAGGCTTCTCTTTATCTAATTAAAGTTTTCTTCGTTTATATAGAAACTTTGCTCGCTCTGATAAACTCAAATGTCAACTGCAGGTTTGTTTTTTCTTTTTCTTAAAAAACAAACATTTTTTCCTTGTGAATTCGCTGGGGGCGTTACATTTTGAGATCATCAATGTTGTATAGCACAACTTCCACAACTTATCGAGCGCTCCATTAACATCCCCTACCCATGCTTCCTTTGAGTTCACTTGTCTCTCTTGTGGGTTCCTATTTTCTTTGTTTGTTTGTTTGTGATGGATTCCTATTTTCTTCTTCACCCAAGTGAACATCTGTCAGGCCCGTAGCCCGTTGTTGTTTTCATCTCCCCTGCCTTGTTTGCCCTCCCTGGGTAACCTCCAAAGTGGGTTCCCTTTGGTATGAAAGTCTTTGTCTTGGGTGGTTGTTGTAGTCTTCATGTTTATAACAGGTGTCTCATACAATGTATTTGTTCTCTTGCGATTGACTAATGTTACCCCACTTGCTGTGGATGAGTCACAACCTGAGAGAAAAGTCACTCAGCTCGGTCTGCCAGTAGGTATGCAGCACAAGCGAGAGTGTCTGCTCCTGGGGCCAGGCTTCCTCTGAAAGGGAATATTTGTGTTTCCATTCCAGAATTCATCCCACAGGCCTTTGGAATGCCATTATCCCAAGTCATTGCCAATGACCGGGCCTATAAACTCAAGCAGGACTTACAGAAAGACATGCAGAAGGACGCATCGGATTTTGTGGCTTCGCTCCTACCATTTGGAAATAAAAAACAGAACAAAGAACTCTCAAGCAGTAACTCATCTCTCAGCTCAACCTCAGAAACACCAAATGAGTCGACATCCCCGAACACCCCGGAACCGGCTCCTCGGGTCAGAAGGAGGGTGAGTAGGCCAGTATTTTCTCTGGTGCTCTGATGTGAGGGAAACTGAGCAATTTCCCTGTGATTCTTTGCTCATGTGATACCTAGAAATGTAGGGCCAAACGCCACTCACCCACCCCATCCAGCAGCCATTTGCACTGGGATTACAGCACCTGGAACCCTTCTCAAAACTATTGGGTGCCTGTGTCCATTGACCCTTATAGCCCTGGGGATCCAGAACATTCTCAACTGCCATACAGCCCCATCTATTGTCATCTTCCATTGCTTTGCCACTTTTCCACAAAATCCTGAGGTTTGAGGGCAAAGATTGGTGTTTGGCCAATATCTTCATCTCCAGTCTAATGCATTGACGGCATGTGGGTCTTTACAAACAATGAGATTTTTCCTTATCCAATGCAAGATTTTTTTTTTTTAAGTCAAACAGTGCTGTGGTTGTTAAACGCTGTCAAGTCCGTTCCAACTCGTGGGGAGCCCTTGCATAAGAGAAAGACGTGCTGTCCAGGCCCGGACTCTCCTCCTCACTGTTGCTGACCCTCTGCTTTATCAAGTGGGATGTCTTTCTCCAGGGACTGGTCCCTCCTGGAAACATGCCCAAAGGACATGAGATGAAGACTCGGCATCTTTATTTCTAAAGAGAATGCTGGGCAGACTTCTTCCAAGATAGAGTTGTTCATTCTTCTGACATTTGTTCGGTATCCTTCACCAGCATCCTCATTCATCCGTTCTTCGTGGGACTTCCTGATCCAGTGCCCAGCTTTCTCGTGTGTATGAGGCAATAGAAAAGACGATGACTTGGGTCAGGTGGACCTTCGTCCTTTAAAGGACATCTTGGCTGATGAACACTTTGCAAAAGAGGTTGTTTTATCACAGATTTACCCAATGAAACACATCATTTGAGTTCTTGGCTGCTGCTTCTAGGGACGTTGAATGTGTACCCAAGTAAAATGAAATCTTTGACAACTTCAAACCTTTCTTCGTTTATCATGAAGTTGCTCATTTGTCCACTGAGAATTCTTGTTTTCTTTAGGTTGAGGTGTAACTCATACTGAAGGGTGCAGTCTTTGTGCTTCATCAGTAAATAGATGAAGTCCTCTTCACTTGCGGCAAGCAAGGTTGTATGATCTGCACAGCCCAGGCTGTTAATGAGGCTTACCTCTGAGCCCCCTACCTTCTCCTTCATGAAGTCCAGCGTATCATGTCATTTGTTCAACATACAGATGGAATAAGTTTGGTGAAAGGATACAACCCCGACTCACACCTTTTATCATTTTAAACATGCACTACTCCTTGTTCCTTTCAAATGACTATCTGAGGTCCAGGTTCTGAACGGGCACAGTGAAGCGTGCTGGGATCCCTCGTCTTCACAGTGTTCTCCATTAGTTATTATGATCCACAAAATGGAATGCCTTTGCATAGTCAATAAAACACAGATACCTTCTGCTAGTATGCTCTGTTTTCAGCCAAGATACATTTCATATCAGCAGTGACATCCCCGGTTCCATGTCCTTTTCTCAATCCAACTTGAACTTCTGGCACTTCCCGATACATATACTGCTACCATAATTTTTCTTAGTTATCTTCAATAAAATCTCTGATCTGACTAATTAGTTTATTCAAGAACTCCTGCATTCTCTTGAATCACCTTTATTTGAAATGGACATAAATGTGGATTTCTTCCAATGGGTTGCACAGGTAGGTGTGATTCAAATTTCTTGGCATAGGTGAGTGGGCACTGCCAGCCTTGCATTTATCTGTTGAAACATTGCAAATGGTATTTTTTCACTTTCTGGAGTCTTGCTTTTTGTCGATGCCTTCAGTGCCGCCTGAACCATCATTCCTTGACCATTTGATACCTCTGGAAATTGTTGAAAGCTGACCAATTCTTTTTGGTACAATGACTCTGTACCTTCCTTCCATCTTCTTTTGATGCTTTGTGCATCGTTCCATATTTTGCCCATCGAATGCCTCAATATTTCAACTCAAGGCTTGAATTGTTTTCTTCAGGTTTTCCCGCACGTTTCCTTTTGGACTTGCTGCCTCGCAGCCTTTGCACTTTGAATTATCGTGCTCTTTCTTCAATCGGTTGATAAATATCCCTAACAAGTCCTAGGTCACTTGAAGACCCTCCTGGCTTTTTTTCTCCCCTAGAGGCTTCAAATACATGCCTCCTGCAACTTTCTTCACATCCCAGATACTCTCACTAAGATTCCTGATTTCATATGCAACCCCCAGCATTCATCTGTTTTCAGTGGTTCAGGAGCTGCTGCTATTTATTAAGACTTTAAAAAGAAGAGCTGATAGAACAGCGAAGCACATGACTTTGCAGGATGAGATTGTTCTTTCAGTCCATCGTCGTTTCTCAGACTTTGCACGTAAACTCATCTGGCTATAAGACCATGGTTTCATTTGGAGCATTCTGGGAATCTAGGGCTTTAGTGATGGGCCTACCAATTCCCTTCTCCTCTGCCCAGATCCTGCGAGCAGCCAGCTTCGCCATCCACATTTCCTGAAAGGCTGGGTGGTTCTAGCAGATACAGATAATGATCTGTTCTCTTCTTTGCTGCTGTCCCCATCGCCCTCCCCTGCTACTTTCCATCCCTCATCTCTCTCCTGCAGGCTTTCTCACACCCATAGCACATGGCAGGCACCATGTCCTGAAGCACGAACACCACCACCTAGCCCCTATTACCGATGGCTCTCTCGCTCTTCAGCAGGGACTGTGCTGAGGTTCATGCTCTACACCAGTGGTTCTCAACCTTCCTAATGCCGTGACCCTTTCATACAGTTCCTCATGTGGTGGTGACCCCCCAACCATAACATTATTTTCGTTGCTACTTCATCACTGTCATGTTGCTACTGTGATGAATCAGGCAACCCCTGTGAAAGGGCTGTTCGACCCCAAAGGGGTCGCTACCCACAAGTTGAGAACTGCTACTCTACAGTATCTCCCAGAGTGCTCAGGGCCATTGAGCACCAGTGACTCCGTGGCCATTGACCATGCTCCTTCATTGGCAGCCTTCCATTCTCCACCACACTACTTAGGGCTACTTTCTGAGACTACCTGCTTAATAAAGCACTTCATGCTGCTTCAGGGGAAACTCAACTGAGACAGCTTTATGGAATCCCCCCATTTTCAAACCTACTCCCGCTAGTCCTAATGGAACCTCTTTTATGTCCAAGATACCCATGACTATCTCCTACACAAAGTATGTGATTTTGTAAAAAGTTATGTTTGAAGAAATTAAACGGTTGTGCCAAAGTATTTTCATTCTATGTTTCCCGTCTCTCATCGTCCATGTGGAAAACACTGTGTGTGTTGACATCGTGACTGCTGTTATTTTACCCGAGGTTTGTTGATTTCCTAGCCTTTTCAAAAGGCATCATCTTTCTCCCCCTTTTAATGTACACACAGGACCATTAAAGCAAGCTGTATCCTTACAAGCGGGAGAAATACTGCTGGGCAAGGGGATTTATTGGCTAGCATCTAGGGGAGGGGGGGGCTCTTTTTGTTCTCCGTCTGCACTCTTGGTTCATGCCTGTGTGTAATTTGCAGGGTGCGATGTCAGTGGATTCGATCACAGATCTTGATGACAATCAGTCCCGACTTCTGGAAGCTTTACAGCTCTCCCTGCCAGCCGAGGCACAAAGTAAAAAAGAAAAGGCCAGAGATAAGAAACTCAGTCTGAATCCGATTTACAGGCAGGTCCCCAGGCTGGTGGACAGCTGCTGTCAGCATCTAGAAAAATATGGTAAGTGGCACCGTGCAGTGAACCGCCCACCTTCAACTTGTCTTCATCTGACTAGACGCCAGGCTGACATGTCCGTGGTGAAGAAAGTGTTATGGAAGTGAGGGGTGGCTTCGAGGATGATGGGGGCCAAAGGAGCTGACGAGGGAAAGCCCGTGTCCAGACTGCTAAGCCACCACAATGCTTCAAAAGGGAGATTGGAGGCTGAGTGATCTGGGAAAAGAGTGAGATTTATTAGCTGGATCTGTCCCCAAGGCTCCCTGCAATCAGAGCAGAGCCACTCTTATCTGTTTGATACATGAAAGGTCCTTACGAGGTGCCGTCAAAAGAACAAGGGAGGAGGGGCAAAGAATCCAACTTCTTGAGAAAGAAAAATATCAAAAACCGTCACTTAGATGACTAGGAACTGCGCAGCTTTGACAAGGGGTCTCTATCCTGCTCGCTGCATTCTTGGAAAAGAGGCCTTTTGAACAGTTCTTCACTCTGACCCTTTGGAAAACTCAGTGAATATGCTGACGTCAAAATGATAGAAAGACTCTTCTCGAAAACATGCTCCAGCACGTAGACTTGTAGCGGCAGCAAAACTGCCATTTCCACCATTGAAATGGCTTCGTTTTCTTTAGCCTGCACTTCAGGGCCTTGAGGGAAAGTTTCTTCCTTGCTGCTTTACTAGAAGAATAAAAAGTATAAGATTTTTGAGAAGAGCGAAGAAACTTCGGAGGTCATGCAAACACAACTTATGTTAACTTTCTCCTAGCGTTCCTTCTAATGAGGATTCCGGGGGCTGCAGTGGTTGAAACTCTTGGCTGCTAACTGACAGGTCAACAGTTCAAAACCACCAGCCATTCGACAGGAGAAAGATGAGGCAGTCTGCTTCCGTAAGAGTTTACAATCTTGGAAACCCTGTGGAGCAGCTCTACTTCGTCCCACAAGTCAGGACTAATTGAACAACAGTGGTTTCGTTCTAATAAAAATGATACTTTAAAACTTTTTTGAGATATATCTAAATTTCTCAACTCAATATATGGTTACAGGGCAACATATAGACCATTTAATAAAATTCATATGGATTAAAACCTTCCCTTATTTGCTTTAGATACAATTTTTAAGTGTGGAATTTTTTAGTTAGATCTTTCTCTATCTCCTCTTTGGATGATAGACTCGAAGATGAAGACCCTGTCTTAGTAATCTTGACTCCTCAATCTTTGGTTTCATGACTAATACAAGGAAGATTTTTTTTAAATCATTTTATTGGGGGCTCTTTCAGCTCTTATCACAATCCATCCATCCATCCATTGCGTCAAGCACATTTGTACAGATGTTGCCATCATCATTTTCAAAACGTTTTCTTTCTACTTGAGCCCTTGGTATCAGCTCATTCCCCACCCTCCCTTCTTCCCTACCTCCCTCGTGAATCCTTGATAATTTATTTTTAAAAAGTTTTTTTTTCATGTCATACACCGACCGATGTCTCCCTTCACCCTCTTCTGTTGTCAGTCCCCCTGGGAGGGGGTTATAGTTCAATCATTGTGATCAGTTCCCCTGTCTCCTCCCACCTTCCCCTTCCCCTCCTGATATCACTACTCTCATTATTGGTCCTGAGGGGTTTATCTGTCCTGAATTCCCTGTGTTTCCAGCTCTGATCTGTACCCATGTGCATGCTGTGGTCTAGCTGGATTTGTAAGGTAGAATCGGGGTCATGATGGGGAGGGGGGAAGCATTAAAGAACTGAAGGAAAGTTGTATGTTCCCTGAATGGCTCATCTCTTCCTTGTGACCCTTCTGTAAGGGTTGTCCAATTGTAAGGAAGATGTTTTAAAATAGATGTTATTTGGGCAGAATTGTTGGAATATACAGCTCAGGTAAATACCACCACCAGGCAAGAGGGCATGATGTGCTCCTGGGAGGCAGGGAGGGTCAGGGAGAACGTGGGATGGAAAAGAGGGTGGCCGGTGGAAATGGGCCAGTGCCTACACATTGCAGGGGAAGAGCAAAGCAACTTCCCGGAACAAGTCAAGAAGGAATTGTTGAATGGGAAATGCATTTTCATTATAAACTTTCATCTAAAACACAATAGAGCAGAGGGACCTTAAAAAGAAAATGTTTAAAAAATGATGATGGCTTGAAGGTAAACAAGCGGCCATCTAGCTCAGAAGCAACAAAGCCCACATGGAAGAAGCACA